ATAGGATGCAAGAGCCTTCCTATCTGTTAAAATGTCTAACCTATCTTATAGCTGTCATTTTTGCACATGCCATAACATTAGATAATTCAAATAAAACAACAACAACTTCACATATTGAAAATGAAATAAGTCTTTTCATAACAATTATATTTTCAATGAATTCCATATATATACCATCGGAGTTAACTCCCTTATCTCGCAATACTGTACGGGCGTTATAAACATCTGCAAATATAATCAACGCTACCGCATATTTCGTTTTTCCTATTCACATTTAACAGAACTGATCTAAAGATTTGATTTTCTTATCTCTCAGTTCATTCAATAACATGTGACCAAACGCACTTTGTTAGTCAAATATTTTCGGAGCAACCACGTTTAGTTGAATTTTGTCCTGTTGAAATATGCACGAGGTGGTACGACTGGTTCTAAAAGACGATTCTGATTCAGTATTCAACGCTTAAAATAGATACAATAAAATATAATGCGTTGCTGCTTTAAATCAAAATGGTAGAAGAATAATTATGGCAAGACTAGCATTGTTAATGTAATTATGTCTGCAAAAGTCTTTGTTATTTCACCTGCATGCAATAACTTTCTGAAAAGTATATCGACCCATAAGATCGTTAAGTATTGAGCCAAGGTCATATGATGAAAGACCTTTACAGAAAGGCATCAGAAACCTATTTGTGCATTATTTCAGATATGAACAAGCAACGGTATGAAACTTTGCTTGATAGATTCATAACATGAGCAATTTCAAAGTCACTGGTGGGATTTGAACCGACAGTGTTAATGGGAAAGTGAATAAAGCTCACGACCTCTAGTCCACATATTGTAAATAGACAAAAATACATAATTTTGAGGAACACAGATCCAGTATCATATACCCTAGATGGTGTCCTCATTGCTCTCCTAACAATGTCAACATTCTGTATATGTTGAGGATCCTCTGATGCCTCGAACATACAATAATTAGTCTATATTTGTAAATGCCAAAATATACAATAATATATCAAACATTCAGAAGATCTAAATGATGATAATACAGTAAATATAGAATAAACATAATAACGTCCTGCTCTGCTGAATATACCTGAAAAAATATAGAAGAATATATCATTCTGTTAATACTACCTGTTCTTGTTTTTAAATAATAACATTGGGTCCAAACTAGCCCCCACAAGAACAACTGACTTGCAAGATATCAATTTTCAACAGTGGTTGATATTTCATGTTGATTGTCAGCAAACACAATAATTTATACATTAGATTGTTCACAATTAAGCAATGCAACAGTATATGTGTACTAATTAAAGCTAAGTGTATTAATATTACATCTCTATTGGTGGATTGCATATCCAAAGCAACTATTTGATTACCTCCTTCATGACTGTGTGAATTTGATTCATGACTTTGAACCTCTTGTCACTCACTACTGGGAATTCTGTTCCTAACATGAACTTCAAATACATACTTGTAAGAATGTTTTCAACTTACACACATCCGTCACCATTAAACCCAATAAAACACTATTTTACTTAAACAGCCTTTATGACTTAAAACCTACCCACACAGACAAAAACAACATTGTTGGCCCTCTTAAAGCTGCATGCCTCTATTGGAGCCAAAATATTTCAAGAAAATCAAACTTGAGATTTTTTAAAAAGATTTTAAGAAAGGTATCTGGATTCAATATTCATGTAATAATATACATGTTTAATGCGATTTAAGACTGATCTTGCAGTTTTTATATAAATGCTTCTACTGTGTGACTAATAAAGCAAGGTTGTTTTTGTGGATATTTGGACCTCTTTGGTATTTGCATGTGCCGATTGGAATGAGTAAATTACTTCCTTAGTTCATCTTACAAAATATTACTTTTCAATGCATTTTCAAACATGTCATGAAAATAAGCATGCATTTGGAGGCGTGCTACTATAATGTCAATATAATATGAAACGTTAGTCATCGTCGGTATGTTTTCTACAAATTGCAAATTTCTTTTAGTTTAATTCCAGAGAAAGTTGATCAGTTTTTGTAAGAATTATGTATGTTTTGAATCTTCATTTCAAAAACAAAAACAGCTCAGACGAAAATTCCAGGCATGTTCTGCTTACAAATCGTAAAATATCCTGCAGGCTCCGTTGATTGTGTAATTCCATGTAGCTGTGAGCGAAGAAACATGTAAAACTCATTAAATGCATGCATATTAAATTTTGTAATTTACTCGTAATATCAACAACTTTTAAACGTGTTCTCACGCTCGAGCTTGCCAACGATTACCCTTCATGTCTTAGTTGTTTTTCCTCGTCTTGTTCCTATTTATTTTATGGCATGATTTTTTCCATTCATATGGAATCGGAGTAAACCGATGGTATTAAAGCTTTACGCCTGGGGATTTACGAAATTTCTAAACTCGAGTATCAAATAAAGTGATTTCAAATCTTCATATATGCACTTACCAATCTAATGATTTTATTTTAAATGTAATGTTAACAATGAGCGAACAAAAAAAAAGAAAGGAGGTAGCAAACAAAAAGGTAGAAACGGGGTATGAATAACAAAAAGTAGAATTGAGGTAGCAAAAAAAAAGTAGAAACGGAGTATGAATAACAAAAAGTAGAAAGGAGGTAGCAATCAAAAAAGTAGAAAAGGGCTATGCATAAAAAAAGTAGAATCGGGGTAGCAAACAAAAAGGTAGAAACTGGGTATGAATAACAAAAAGTAGAATTGAGGTAGCAACAATAGGTAGAAACGGAATATGAATAACAAAAAGTAGAATTGAGGAAGCAAATAATAAGGTAGAAACGGGATATGCATGAAAATGTAGAAATGAGGTAGCCAAAACAAGGTAGAAACGGGGTATGAAACAAAAAAGTAGAAACGGGGTAGAAATGTGTAATTAAATTGAAGAAGCAGCCAAGTAACATCAGTAGTAAAATAGCAGTAATAGTAAATATTGTACAACTCTTTCCGAGAATCTAATAAAGTGACTTTATCTGATCAATATAATGATAATATTTTATGTAATAGTAAAAACCTAAGGTTCAATGGTTTAACTGTACTAGATTTCATTTCTAATAAAAAGAACAGACATACGGAAATGGTTCAAGGGTTTAACTGTACTTGCTTTCATTTCTTGAAACAAAAAAAATGAAAATAAAAAAAAGACATACTGAAAATGTGCCGTGAGAAACTCAGTAATTTATGCCATTGCTGATTTATGTTTTAGGATATTTGGTTTTTACAATTAAGATTCCGGTATTACAAAGTCTTAAACGACGTAAACATCCGTGAGATATTCATTAAATATTTAGCATGTGTTACATATCCTGTTATTCTAACATTTTATCTGTAATTGAGAGCAGACTGTCAGAATTTAGAGGGTAGATAAAAAAGTAAGTATCCTTAGATACTAATCCTTCTTCTGGTCTTCCCGTTTGGAACGCGACAAATATGATTATTTGTAATCAAGGATGTGTTCCGAAAGTTACCAATACGTAGATGATATCAACTCGGCAAACTTCGATGCTTCCTGTTACAGAGATGATCTCGAAAAGTGTTCAAACATAAATATCTACAACTGTTCCTGGTCATACCAACGCTCATGTGACATAAAAACAACAAACAAGTTTTTTTAAAGTGAGACATATGCAATTTTTTTAGAAATCGAAAGATGTAATGACTGATGAACTGTCATTTTGCGAGCGCCCAAAGCCGAGTTATTTAGGCCATTGACTTCTAAGCACTTGCCCGTAACCATTATGGGTCCGTATCCCAACAGGGTTTTTAATTTTGCCATGAAATGAAGCTATCTAGCTAACATACGAAACGTTGGTTGTTCTACCCAGGTTCTAACTAGGTTCCCGTTTGTGCCAGAAATAATGACCGGAAGAGCAACCTGAGGTTCCTCCACCGGTAAAGCTGGAAAGTCGCCATATGACCAATACTGTGATGTTTTTGTGTCCATTCGCTCGTCCATTCAACCTTAATTAATCTCATTTGCAGTCTTTGTGAATATCATTCCTGCCATGCACTATCCATGAATATCGTTTATTCCATGCAGCCTGCGTAAATTTCAATTTGACACGCCGTCTTCCTGAGTTCTTTTTGCCTTAAAAATATAATTTGGCGCGTGAAGTTTTGTATGAAGAAAATATTTCGCCTGAGCAATCTTAGAATTTCGTCTACGTAATCTTCATGAATGTCAATTTTATCAAGCAGTCGTCGTGAATAATATTACGCCCATAATTCCCTCGTCAATATCATTTTGCTTGAAAAATTTTCATGAACTTCACTTCGCCTGTGTGTTCTTCGAATTTATAATCCTCTCTATCTTGGTTACAGCAATCGGAAAATCTCGGATATTTGCCTTAATGTGCGCCTTTTCCAGATAAAAGTATCAATATTCATTTACAAATTATTTGTATTTATGCAGCAACTATTGCGAAAGTCCAAAAAATATTGTCTTAATTATAAATGTTTATTTAAACTGAAAACCATCGAACGTTTAAAACTGTATGCCTTAATCCAAATCCATTCCGATTTAAAAGAAACTAATGTTTTGGCAATTGGTATCATTATTATAATTGTATGGAAGTCAAGATACTACATTGTTTAAATTTTCCTATGTTTACGATACATTCTTTTACTATACATAACTTTACATTCAACGTTATTTTTCAGCTGTTCAACATCAAACATGCTCTTAATCCATTATCAAAACATTATTTAACTCAAATTTGAGATATATAAAGAATTGATAAATATTGATTTCTAAAGGCATAATGTGCCTTTAAAATAAATTAAATTAAATTAAATTTCTCAACTGTTTTTTTATGCTTTTCACCAAAACAATGTTCTTATTAAACTTTGTTTGCTCATCTTTAGAACTACAATATGAAAAGCACATATGAACTAATAAACAATTACTGTACTTTTTATACATCCCTCATGATGTTAAATTTGTGGTACATAAGACTGATGTTTCCAGTGCTTCCCTCATACTAGGCTCTTTTTTAAGCATTGGAAACTATATTTGTGTCACATTGAAATAAAAATGAGAATTTCATTTTGTAAAATTTTCTTTTTGAGTTACCTACTTACATGTGCAAAGTCAGAGGAACCGCACTGTTCAAAATATGATTTCGAAGAGAAAGTTTTAGAGAAAATGGTTCGCATGGAATTTCAAATGGAGAGAATGAAATCTGAAATGGAACAAACAGTGAAAAGTGTTGACCGGAAACTGAATGAAATGGTTGAAAAACAGGAGAAACATACATTAAGCATTAAAACAACACAGGAAAAGTTTGATGAGACAATCGAAGCACTACAAAACAAAACGTCAGAGATCATTGATACAAAATTAAAAGAACTGCAAATTTTAAAAGGTATATCTTATTAGTAAAATAAATTTTGGTTCATTCAAATGACTGTTTAAGAACGTACCATTGCTATGTAGTTCATAGTTTTGTCTACACATATATGATTCTGTACCTATGACCATTCTACTAATTGAAGTATCAAAAAGATAATCTATGTCTTTTAAACTTCAATAATTGTCTTCTTAAAAATGATCAAAGCTGTCAACTTCTGTAAATCTATTTTTAAATCGACATTTTATCTATGTGTATATGTTTTTTTAGTATTATTTCTTAAAAAGTCTCTGCTATTTGACAATAAGGATCAAAGCAGAGTAACATTTAAAATATCAATATTTTTAAAAGTAAACTAAAAAATAAAAAGATTGATTTATACGTACAGGTGATTGACTTAAACCTAAAGGAATGTTGATTTATAATATAAGTTATTAAAAATGAAAAAGAACTGTTTCTTGAGTAAAAACATACAAATACGTGTCGTCCGTCTCCGAACATTTCCTTAGATTTTATTAAATTTTTTGTTTGTGTTAGTGTGGCGGGGGGGGGGCGTTCTACAATAACAGTATAAGGGCCATATTTATTTTACTTACCAGCTTTACAAAAGGAATGACTTAGTTGTATATTAATTAAGGCACTGACGGGCACCTGAGTAGAACCACAGACGTACCGTCAGCTTTTCTCACATGAAAGAATTCGATCCTAGCGCAAATCAAACATAAAACGGTGAAGGGAAAGTGGTTTTAATTCATCAACATTAATCACTCGGCAACGTACGCCCTATGACTAAAATGACTTGATGTCAAGGTAAGACAAGTGATAGTGCTGTGTATAATGATAACGTAACACAGTATAGACATTGAAAAGAAAAGAACTGCAAATTTTAAAAGGTAAATCTTATTAGTAAAATAAATTTTGGTTCATTCGAATGACTGTTCAAGCACATAACATTGCTATGTAGTTCATAGTTAATGTCTACACATATATAATCATGTACCTATGGTCATTATACTAAATAAAGTATCAAAAAAATAATCTATGTCTTCTAAAACTTCAATGGCCGTCTTCTCCCAAATGATCAAAGCTGTCAATATTAGTTTTAATCGAAATTTCCTTTAAGTTTATATGTTTTAGTATTATTCTTAAAACAAGTCTCTGCTATTTGACAATAAGGATCAAAGCAGAGTAACATTTAAAATATCAATATTTTTAAAAGTAAACTAAAAAATAAAAAGATTGATTTATACGTGCAGGTGATTGACTTAAACCTAAAGGAAGATATGTACATGAATGTTGATTTATAATATAAGTTATTAAAAAGGATAAAGAACTGTTTCTTGAGTAAAAAAATGCAAATACGTGTCGTCCCCTTAGATTTTATTAAATTTTTTGTTTGTGTATCTGTGGCGGGGGTGGGGGGCATTCTACAATTACAGTATAGGCGTTCTACAATTACAGTATAAAGGCCATATTTATTTTACTAACCAGCTTTACAAAAGGAATATCTTAGTTGTGTATTAATTAAGGCACTGACGGGCACCTGAGTAGAACCACAGACGTACCTTCAGCTTTTCTCACATGAAAGAATTCGATCCTAGCGCAAATCAAACATAAAACGGTGAAGGGAAAGTGGTTTTAAGTGAACGACCTTAATCACTCGGCAACGTACGCCCTATGACTTAAATGACTTGATGTCAAGTTAAGACAAGTGATAGTGCTGTGTATAATGATAACGTAATACAGTATATACATTGAAAAGAATATAACATGGCAGAGGCTCGAATAATATGATTTTATTTAACTTGTTCAATAAAGTTTTATGATATATAATTAATTTTACCTTAAATTAAACAACAGCGAAAATAATACACAGCATCATCTATTGTCCTTCCTTGGCGTCATTCTATTGTACTAATGTTGTAATTATTAAAACGAAAATTAAACATAAACCACGGAACAGTGTAATAGATAGAGTATTGAGTGAGTGTAAGTTCAATACTGAATGAATTGAACGAGACGTAATAAAATTATAATATATTCAATATTATGAATAGCAACAAGTTCAATAAATTCATTAATGAACTTACAAGAATTTTTATATTCTATTTATCAATCATACCAAAAATTTGATATTCTATGCATCACATATCAGAAATAACCACCGTTTAAAGTTAAAAAAATATCACTTTCATTGACGCCCCCTATAGTATTACGCGCCTTTAAGTATTACGCTAACATTAGATTTAAGTCTTAAGACAAATGTCGTCAGCTCAAAATATATTCACGTCTGTGCAATATCATGTTCACGGAGTCGCTATTATAGCGGCACGGATATATGAGAAAACGAAATTTGACGAGAAGTTATTAATTTTGTGTAATGTACAAACATAGCGTGCTAAAGTAAGCGTTACACTATAAAAGACGCGTAAATGGGAAAAAATGCCAGAACCTCGCTCAATATGAGTTTTATCAACTCGTTCAAAAGATTTAGTTTTTAATATTCATATATTCATATATATATTATATATAACGAGTGTCTAATTGGCGATTTTACAAATTATAATATTTTGCGAGATAGTTTATAAATAAATCTAAATAAAGATGGTATTGAACACGATAACATTCAAATAAAAGAAAACTATGTATTTGCATTCAAAATTATCCACGCGAAAAACGGCACTTGCGAATATAGTTAAAACACTTACGTTACTCAAGCACGACATGGTGATTGTCGTATTTTTAGTATAAATGCGGGTTCTTAATTGGTTGTCTTTTATGTAAAATATCGTACTTTCCAAGAATGAGCTGCACAGAATGCCCACAATCTGTCGGAAAAAATATTAATGTTATCATGTATTTATCTATATTGTTAGGTAATTTGTGCGAATATAGATTATAAATAGAAACACGAGTGGTCAATAACCTCAAGGCCCCCTCGTTATATCGGACTCGGACCTGTTTAGCCCAGTCGCTTATTCCTTATTTCTGCGAACTTAGGCGTGTTATTCATCATAATCATTATATACATGTAGTCTTCAATTCCACAACAGTATCTTCTAATTTAAGTACATAATAATAAAGATTCTTGTTCAAATAAAGAATAGGTAAATTGCTATGATTGTCGTATCGAGCTGAAATTCATAAAACATAGTATTGAAACAAAATCATACTAAGTATATGATATAGTTTCATTTTGCAGTGTTTGTTTGAAGGGTGACCATGTAAACCCGCTCCGTTAAGCTTGTTCTTGTTCACGTTAGAAAATTACAACAAAGTTTTGTTTTACATACAAGCAATAAATGAAATTAGACGAATAGCTTGATATTCATTTTTTAATCCAGATGGGATAAAATGTAGGTGGCCAATTAGCAATTCGGCGAAGTGTGCACACATTCAATACCATCTATTAATGTGTCTTTAATTACCATATCATTTTGTAAAACTTACTTATGATGTTATTTCAGATCAGATTGTGACACCAACTGTGGTATTCAAGGCAAGACTAAATGCTAACACTGCCGCTCCTGCAGGTCAAGTTATAGTGTTTCCTACAGTACTCTTCAATGAAGGAGATGCCTACAGCAATGACACAGGGGAATTTACGGCCACAACAAACGGAACATATCTTTTTACTATAGCATTATGTGTGCAGGCGAACAAATATTTGTACGTGGGTATAATGGTTGATGGTGTAGCATACACCAGGACAAACATTTATGGTGACGCAAATTACGGCTGTCATACAGCTGACACTATCGCTGTGTTAAAAGCAGGACAGAGCGTGTGGGTTCAGTCGTCTGTTAGTTCCTCTGGTAATATACTCCAACATTCTTCATCCTACTGGAACACTTTTTCCGGAGTTTTACTCCATAAATAAATACAATATTTACTGCATATGATTTCGCACGAGTTGTTTTATAATTATTAAATAATATCAAACATGTTGATGAAAAATAATTCTGTGTAAAGCTATTAAACCTTTTTTATTCATGACCTAGTTTAAAGATATTTGATATTACTTACTTGGTATAATTATGTAAACACAATGTCACAATGTTTCATTACCGAGTTATCTAACTAATGGTAAATAAAGGATCAGGTTAATTAATATCATTGTACTCAACATGAAGATATATTTGGACGAGTTTTCATGTAGCCAGATAAACTATGAACACACAACGGTTCCAAACCAGAACTTAAATGAAAACAGTATATGCAACTCGGATTTTATTTGCAAGTGAATATTTCCATGAAAAGTATCGATTCGGACACAAAAGCAAATACTTTTTGTTTTCTATGTTTGTTTTTTAATAAAGATAAAGGTCATATTTAGTATATAATATTTTGTTTTATATATTGTTTTTTAACAAAGATAAAGGTCATATTTAGGTTTATTTCATTTTGTTTTATATGCATGTTTTTTAACAAAGATAAAGGTCATATTTAGTATACATCATTTTGTGTTATATGTTTGTTTTTTAACAAAGATTAAGGTCGTATTTACTATGTAACAGTTTGTTTCAAATGTTTTTTATTAAAGATAAAGTTCATATTTTATGATACTTTCTTTTTTCGTTATTAAATTAGAATAACGTCGCATTAAACAATCTCTTTTGATTACTGTATGATTTATAATGTAAAAATTATTATTTACTATTCTTTTTTTCTATGTTTTTGTTCACACTGTACTTTGGATTTGTATGGGGTATAAACATTGTTTTAACATAACAAGTAAATCAAGGGAAGGAGAAAATACACATGAAACATCAGGATGGTTTATAACTGATTTATTCTAGGATCTACCTGTTTCGGTCGTTCAAGACCTTCATTAACATGTTTAATGCTGAATAAAACTTTGTATTTTTATTCATATATTTAGTTTCATATATATGTTGTTTGCAAAAATAAAGGCCATATTTAGTTTATAACAGTTTTTTTTTCGTATGTGTGTTTATATCAAAGATTAAGGTCATAAACAAGTCATATTTGGTAAAACATTTAGCTTTATTTGTACTTATAGACCCATTACAAGGCTTAACAAGCAGTTTTACCAATTCATAATATATTTAAGTATAATGTGCCTAAAAGATAGGACGTAAGATTCGTCCAATCTTTTAAAATGTCTAACCTATGTTATAGCTGCCTTATTGCACATGCCCTAACATTAGACAATTGAAATAAAACAAAAACAACTTCACACATTTAAAATGAGATAAGTCCTTTAACAACTCTATGCCCAAAGAAGTCCATATATACCATCACAGTTAACTTCCTTATCTCTAAGAACAGGAGTAACAAATTCTGTACTGGCGTTACAAACATAGGCAAATATCTACTGCACTAAGCATTAACATTGTCGCATATTTCGTTTTTTTCTATTCACATATAGCAGACCACAACAAAATCTCAGATTTGATTTTCATATCTTCACATTCACTGAATGAACTACGACCCAATGCACTTTGTTAGTCGAATAATCTTGGAGCAGCCAGGTTTAGTTGAAATTGGTCCTGTTGAAATATGCACGAGGTGGTACGACTAGTTCTAGAAGACGATTCTGATTTAGCCAATTCTGTCAGTATTCCAAGCTAAAAATAGATACAATAAAATATAAAGCGCTGATGCTTTTAATCAAAATCATATGATGTATAATTATGGTAAGACCAGCATTGTTAATGTAATTAAAGCATATGTCTGCAAAAGCATTGTCTATGTCACCTGCATGCCATGGCTTTCTGAAAAGTATAACGGCCCACAAGATTGTTACGTATTGAGTCAGACCTATACTGCAAAGGTTTCAAAATTCAAATAGGGCCAAATTTAAGTTGGGTTAACAATATTTTACCAACATCTCACCTCTTTTGCCTTTTCTGGTTTAATACCCAGTATTTGCGCTGTCTGCGGATTGGAAAGGGATCTATGAAAGCGCGAGCTCTGCGTCTGGCCGCGTTTCGTATGGCTACACAGGTAACAGACGTAAGTATCCTCCCCGTCGATCACATGGACTGATCCAACTGCCTGCAAGCAGGAACAGTGGTAGCTGTGCCCACACCTGAAAAATAGGGGGGTTTCAAAGACATGTATTTATCCTACATACAATGTATATTTACATCTAAGCCAAGGCGTGCGTGGTGATGTAATAAATTCAAACAACATGTAAGGTGATATCGGTACTTTACAAGACAATTTTATATTCATTGATCACAAGAGCGTCATATATGGATTGTTTAATTTTTGGATGCTTTATGGAATGTTCATCTGCATTATGTGAATGTGTGCATTGTAAGTGGGTGGTGTATCCGATTTAAAGCTGCATGCCTCCAAAATATTTCAAGTACATTGTACAAAGAGTTTAAATAAAGATTCAAGATTCAAGTTATAATGTACATGTTATGTGCGTTTAATGACTCATTTTGCAGTATGTACATCACCACATTTTTACTGCATTACTAACACAGTAAAGGATATGTTTGCATATTTTGACATCTTTTTTAAAGTTTTTAGAAATTTACGTGGATTTTAAGCGCCGTTTGCAAAGTATTAATTAATCTCTTTGTTCACTACACAATATTTTACTTTCAAACACATTTTTAACATTTTCATGAAAATAAGCATGAATCTGGAGGTATGCTGTTTTAAGCCTATTGTTACACACTTATGACACAATAAATACATTTGCATCCACACCAAGGCCAGCATAACAATGTAATAAATTTTAACAACATGTATGATGATAATTGGTACCATACAGGACAACTTTATTCTCATTGATAAACACAGTGTCATATTTGGCTTGTATAACATTTTATGATGCTTTATGGAACGTTCATCAGCAACAGGTGAATGGGTGCATTGTAAGTGTATGATGTTTCTGATTTAAAGCTGCATGCCTCCAAAATATTTTAAGTAAATTGTACAAAGAGTTTAAAAAAAGATTCAAGATTCAAGAGATAATTTACATGTTTTGTGCGTTTAATGGCTCATTCATTTTGCAGCATATATCACCATATTTATACTGCATTACTAACACAGTAAGGGCTTTGCTTGCAAACCACCGTTTATGCGCGGCCATATAAACTTTCTTACAGGTTTATAACAAATTTATAATACAGCAAACATCCTCTTTTTTTAGAGAAAAAGTGAGATTTTTCATAAATTGACAGCAGCCGTGTATATTAAATTATATAAAAGTCACGATTATCCTATGAAAACCGACGTTACAAACGTGCACTATTATAATATGCATACATATTTGCCTTTGTCCGTCAGTGAAAATTAGGGGACACTTCAATGTTATATATCAATCTCCACACAGTGATCTCCCCTTAATTCTTCGGCGTAGATCTCTGCCACCAAGGTCCCAATATATCAGAATTTCTGATATACTATATTTTTTCAAAAATTGTTTTATCTACTGCTTTTATCTATCAGATAAGTTTTCTCTCATTTATTTAACAATGTTTATGAATAAATAAATAAATGATATGAATATTTAGAAATAATTCTAAAAATTATGAGATTATTTTCTACCGAGACGATATTTTGATATTTTATATTTTTTAGCTTTTTAATTCATTTTTCGTTATTCTGTATACTTTTGATAATTTTTTGATAAACTATATCGAACGTAGGCACCAAAAGTTAAAAATAAAACAGAAAGAGAAAAATAACGTTAGATTTTCTTTGTAACGGTCGATATTTACATTTGAATTTCGACGTTACGTCATGTGACTTTCATCATCATGTGACGTCTTTGAAGGCAGTGATTACAATTCTGCCAAGGGAGGTAATCACTGTGAGGAGTTTGGTTATATATATGCACAAGAACGATTGGTATTTACCGAAATGTCCAAGTCCAAGTCGAAAAATGTTTGTCACCGGTTATCATTTCTGTGTAGTAAAGGGGAATTATCTGCTGTAAGACAATGCGATTAACAAATCTTTGTAAGATATCATTTAATATTTATAAATAAGTTGCGGTTTTTTATCCGGGGTAATGCATGCTACAGTTGCTGCCCCTTTCCCGGGGTGGTTTCTTTTAAACTTACGGTGCAGAACAATTTTTTAATGATTTCTTATTGCCAAACCGGGCATGCGAGAAACCAACAATGTAACGAAATATTTAGTAAAGTGAAACCATGGGCAATGCTATGAACATATGAACATTAGAAAAAATAATGTTACTGTAATTCAATTAATGCAATTGCACTTTAGAATGGGATAATGCCATGAAAGTGATCGTTATATTATATAAAGAATAAAAATACTGAGTTTATTATATATATGGGACCTGAGAGAAATTTCAGATAGGTGTCACTGCTTCATAATTTTAAATCTTTGAAAGATCTACGGTAAATGAGATATTAAAGAAATAAACTCATAAACGTTTTGTTAATGGCATACAATATAAAATAGAAAAAACTGTAGACGTATCCTTTGTCAATCCTGTAATTGTGGACGATACAATTTGTGTTTTTTATTGGGTTTTACGTCACACCGACACCGTATAGGTCATACGGCAACGTTCAAGCTTTACTGGTGGAGGAAGACCTCTGGTGTCCTTCCGTGAATTATTTCAGGCACGAACGGGCACCTGAGTAGAACCACCGACATTCCGTTAGCTAGCTGAATAGCTTCCTCACATGAAAGAACCCAAAGTTTCTGTCGGGATTCGAACCCACAGCTATGAGGGGCAAGTGGTTTGAAATCAACGACCTTAACCACTCGGCCACGGACGCCACCACAATTTGTTTTGTGCAAATCATTATTTTGTTAGAAAATTAACATCTCTTTTACAAGAAGCTTCAGCAAATGATGCAAAATTATATGTTGAACGTTATTGTAAACTTTGAACCGAGTGTGTAATAGATTTGAAGGAAAACATGTTGTAAACATGTACAAATGTTATATACATGTACAATAATGATTGGTATTTACCGATAAAATGCAAGTCGAATAATATTTGTCACCGGTTGTCGTTTTTGTAAAGTAAAGGGGAGGTAACCGCCGTAGGATGGCAATACAAAGAGATTTGACTAACATCCCTTTGTAAGATTTCATTAATGCTACCATATTGCTGAGTTGGTTGAATTTTTATTTCCGGGGTAGTGTACGATACAATTGTTGCCCAGTTCCAAAAGGGGCTAGGGTTCTTTAACATGCCCTATGCAGAACACTAATTGAAAACCATGGGACCTCTGTTTCTAAAGACATTTTGTCAGCGCAGTAGCCGGATATAGAACTAGTGCACGCTTGATTTTTTGGCCAGTGAGTTAACACTGTAGCAGCGATCCGTTACAACGCCAATCATAAGACAAAGATCTCCCGTATGATATTTGATATAATGATTTTGTACACAAGTTATATAATTTTAAAGGGCCATTATACCTTATCAATGCTTTTATTTTTATTTCTTTAATATAATTACTTTTTATATATTTCTTTTTATAATTTTGATGTATATTTATATTATTCAATGCGTTACTCACTACTGTTTCGTCTGATGCTTTTTGGCAATAGGTACAGTTATAGTGAGTGAATTAGTATTTTGCATGGAAGTCAAAATAAAACTTTGTTTTTAAAACAAATTATTTCACATTTATCACTACTTTCTTAAGGTAACAAGCGTCTAACATTCTCTTAAACCATTCTTTAAACATTATCAAATTCATGTTTGCCTTTAATACAGAAGTACAAATTAATTTGTTTCTGAGACATAATGTGTCTTTAAAACTTTGAAACACCACAGTAAATGAAATCTTAAAGAAATAAGAGTATACACTGTTTTCAATGGTGAAAGATTAAATAAGTTTGTCTTATGTTTCTGTCAGTATATAGCATTTTACCGGATAATACAAGACGGTATACTTATATAGGGTAAAAGAACTAAATATCGACCTTAAAATAAGTCTTTCATTATACATTGCCT